ATTATAAAAAGAGGAGCAGAGCTGGAAACAGACAGAGTATAGTTGCTAAATATACTTTTATGAGGTATATTTTCTATGAAGTATCAAGAACAATTAGAACAAATCTCCGTCTGGATCTAAGCAATATCTTATGCTAGATATTTTCCACTTAAGTCTCCAAGCAGGAAATCGAGTTGTGGGCACTGCGCCAGGAAATGCCGAGTTTTGCCCACTAATAAGCCAAAGCTTTGGCTCTGAAATGCATAAATTCAAGTCGAGGCCAAGAGTTATGTGAGTGCGGCAACAGAGGGGGGGGGGGGGGGGAGGCTGTCTTAAAGGGGAATGTTATTGTATGTGTGCTTTATGGTTTTCTATGGACTTCAAGCTGAAATTTGCATAAAGCTTGACAATAATAAAAATCGATACTCGTTAAATGAAAAGGGGAGTGGCAATTGGGGAAACCTCCCCCCCCCCACCCCCCCCTTACCACTCCCCTGGTTATCATAAAAGACATTTGCATTGAGCAAAGCTTGCGAAAAGCTTGCAAAAAAATGGAAATTGAAAAATGATTCTTTGCCCCGAGCAGAGCCCATAAATGTCGCCGGCAAAATTGATGTATGTGAAAAAAGGCTGAAAAATTCAAATGGCAGCAGAAGGCGAGTCATAAAAAAGAATTTAATTCACATTTGCGGACAAATATGAGGCATGCCGCAGGCATAAAGTGCACAAAATGGACTTCAAATAGACTTTGGCCCTTAAAAAAAAATTTAAATATGAAAAAAAAAATTGAAATAACACAAATTAATATAAATTAAAAAAGAATTAATAACAAATAAAATTAGAAATAAAATAAAAGCATAATTAAATAGAAACAAAAATGTGAACGAATATTTTAGCACAAAATTTAGCTTAGCTGGCACTTGAACTGCATGTTAAATATTTGCCAGGAGGATAACATTGCAGTGTGCCCGCATTTCAAATCATTTTATATTATTTTTAGCACAAATTGTTGCTTGCTTTAGCTTAGCTGGCACTTAAACTGCATGTTAAATATTTGCCAGGAGGATAACACTGCAGTGCGAATGCATTTTGAAGCATTTTATATTATTTTTAGCACAAATTGTTGCTTGCTTTAACTTAGCAGGCACTTGAACTGCATGTTAAATTTTTGACAGGAGCATAACATTGCAGTGCGAATGCATTTTGAAGCATTTTAATTTCTTTGACAGATTTGCCAATACCATAAAATGCACTGACTGCAAAGGAACGTAAATTAAGCTGCCTGTTAACTGACATGCACTTTGCCAGCGACCTGACAGCAGCTGACAGCAGCTGAGAACGGCGCCCGAGCAGGGACTTTCGACTACTAATATCGAGCGCAACTGTACCTGGCCTGGGGCCATATAGCAAAAAACAAAATAAAATGAAACGAATTTCTTCAAATTGTTTCTAGCTGAACGCTTGATTAACATGTAAATGATTGATGGCTTGACTCGTTAAAAGAAAACCTAAACTTAATTAAGTGAAATGCGAATATGGCCTCAAGAGAGAGGGAGAGTGACAAAAAAGGGGGGGGCAGGGAGTACGACAACAACAAGGCAACTTTTGGTCTTAGCTAATGGCCAAGTTGGCTTCTGCATTTGGCCTTTTGGCATTTAAACGCGTTTGGCTTTCTTCTGCTTTCGGCCTGTCCGCCTGTCCGCCTGTCTGACTGGCACTCAAATGTCAGTTAGGATTTCGAATAGCTGTTGCCGTTGCTCTTTCTATACCCCTCATCACTAATTACAGGGTATGCTGATTGTTTCTTCACACTTTTCGTATTTAATTCTATCTTGATTAAATTGTGCATATTTGTTTCATAATTATCAAGAATTTGATTGCGCAATCGATAAGTATCGATCTGAAGCCAGTTTATTAGCATTTATCGATTGTAATAGATACTTAAACTTTGGAATAAAGTTGCTCGAAGAATCGATTTGACGCAGCACAATGTTATTTATTATTTGTTAGTTTATCGTGCATTTGCTCGAGATTATATAAAACGATAATAATCGATAAATATCGATATGCAGCCTAAGCTTTTCGCGTATAAATTGAAGCGTAGAATATTTTACTTTGCTCGATAAATATCGATATTTAGTCAAGGACTTTCGAGCATATATCTATATTTAGAAAATGTGTGCTTAACGATATATTTATCGAGCATAAATCGAAGTTTAAAATCGATAATTATCGATATTTAGCCTGACCTTTTCGAGCATAAATCTAAGTTTAAAGAGTTTAACTTTGTTGAATAATATCGCTTATTTTCTTGACATCGATAAATATCGATATTCAGCCTAGGCTGATCGAGCATGAATCGAAGTCTAGAAAATGTATGCTTAAAATCGATAAATATCGATTTTTAGGCAAGGCGTTTTTCGAGCATGAATCGAAGTTTTCCGATCATTTGCTTAAAATCGATAAATATCGATATGAAGAGTTAGCTTTTCGATCACAAATCGAAGATGAGAAAATAAAAAGTAAAGTCGATAAGTATCGAAAGTCACACCTAAAATTTAAAAGGTTATCAAAATTAGGAAAATTTCGGATACGAGAATTCGCAGAGTGTGGCCAATTGAGGCCAGAAGAAGAAGCACAATTGCCGGCTACGTTGCGAAGCGTTTGCTACAGGGTATCGCCGCGTCGAGCACTCTCGAATTGTTAACACACAGGTAATTTGGTTATGGTCTGTTATTGTAGCCCGGCTAAAACTAATTAAGCCAATGTCCAGAAACGAAATTGACTTTGATGAACTGTTCGCATGCATATTGGGTAGATCGTAGCGACGTCGGGGAGGTGAGGGAGGAGGCAGGGGAGGGTGGATTGCGAGGGGCGCTAACGCAATACGAGACGCATTTGCATAACAATCGAGCGGGGCGAGGTGAGGGGGCGAGGGGGGCGGGGTTAAGTCCCATTTCGGAGGGTTGTTGCAGCGAGTTGCAGTTGCAGTTGCATTCATCTTAATTAATGCCATTTTGCATGTTGCACTTGCCGCATATTCCAGGTGCGCAGAAGGGGAGAGCGAGGGGTAAGGGCGGGGGGGAAGGGGGGGGGAGCGGAATTTTAATTAAGCGCCAGCTTTTTCAATTTGCAAGGATTCGATTTGGCTGCAAGTCGAAAGCGGTTTGCGGCCAACTAATGAGAGACGGTCGGCGAGGGGAAGGGGGGAGGGGGGGGGGGGACGTTGCTGGGAAATCTGAAGAGGGGCCAAACGCGTCTTAGCCCAGTTTAAAGACGACGAAGAAAGCTCGACTGCCGCCTCGACCCAAATGTCAACGAAATGGCGCTGGGCGAAACGAAGCGAAGCGAAGCGCATGGCCCCAATTTCGTAGCCTTTCGCAGATGAGCTCCAGTCAGATGTTTGCTCAAGGCACGCGACTAGCAGATACCCTGCAAGCAGTCCAAATGCACTTGAAGCAGCTGTGAATACCCTATAATTGCTGCGAGGTCTGTAACTGACGTTTTGTATACCCTGTAGAGAAGTTAAGGCAAAGTATATTCGTTGCAATGTGAAAACCTGCTTGAAATAAAAGAGTTCCTGGAACCAGCGGAACGAAATGGAATGGAATGAAACGAAATGGCAACAAATCGCATTCAGAAACTTCTTTCTCTCTCTCTCGCTCGCTCTCTCTCTCTCTCTTTGTTTAAGACAAAACCAGCGGAACGAAACGGAATGGAATGAAACGAAATGGCAACGAGCTTCTTCTGAAACTTCTCTCTTTCTCTTTCTGTCCCTATGTCCCTCTCTCTCTCTCTCTCTACATATAACAGAATGTGTTTAAGACATAACTTGTGGAACGAAACGGAATGGAATGAAATGCAACGAAATGGAATGAAACAAAACGAAATGGCAACAAAACGTAAGCAGAAACTTCTCTCTTCTTTCTCCCTCTTTCTCCCTCTCTCTCTCTCTCTCTCTTTCTCTCTCTTTCTCTCCCTCTCTCAGCGGAATGCGATAAAGTTTTTAATTACAAGAGAGGGCGACACAGGCAACTAACCCCTCCCCCTCCCCCTCCCCCAGACAAACAGCGACCCTTTCGGCCATTGCAAAAGCGCCAAAATTGTTGTTCTCCCAGTTTTAATTAACTGAAATATTTGTATTTGCAACCATAAAATATGTGCGAAACGGCAGCGAATAGAAGAAGCACGCCGAGTTTCATATAACTCGAAGGCGACAGCTAAAAGTTGGTATAATACCCTGTAAAATACCCTACCCAAAGATCTTAAACTTTGAATACCCTGCAGCCAGGGAACCCCAGACGCCCAAATTTCGTAAGCCCCATAAATGTCAAAGTTTGACTTCTTCTTAAATCCAAGTAGTTTCAAATATGTTTAATCTTAGATTCTTGAGGTTATAAACCCAACGAACTGAAAGACCTTAAGAGCTGTACACGAAATATTTGACATAAATATGAAACGAATATTTAATCTAGAATAATGTTGCCTCAGGGCGCAACTATTTTGCTCGCTGTATCTTAAGTCTTAAGTTAATAGACCCAAGGAACTCAGGAACTGTGAGAGCTAGAGTTGGAATATTTGGTATGTCTATTGATCTATTGATTATATGAAATCTGAACATATTAAACTACTTTATCTCAGATATATATCTTGATAGCCTCAAAGAACTCGGAGACTGTAAGAGCTAGAGCTGGAATATTTGGTATGTGGGCTTTTATAAAGGAAACTATTGAGCATATATCGAAATCGCAACACTTTCACCTACTTCATCTCAGACATTACCATAATGGACTCAAGGAACTCGAGAACTGTGAGAGCTAGAGTTGGAATATTTGGTATGTGGGCTCTGCTAAAGGAGACAATTGATAACTTTTACTCACTTCAACTCAGATATAACCACGATTCACTCAAGTAACTCTCGAAGATTAAAAGATCGTGACGAGGCATAAGAACATGTTGTTGGAAAAGGGTCGAGTTAAACAAGGAATGCCTTGCGAATGAATTGGAGATCGTTTAGTTAATATCTAGCCAGGTTTTTTTCGTCAGAACATTTGTATATGGCATAAGTAAAAAAATTAGTTTCTTTCGTTTTTGAAATTCACGTAAAGTCTTGGTTGTTTTAGACATCTACAATGCTTGCATGAGCGCAAGGAACACGGAGTAAAGCACAGACAGACACGCTTTCATCTTGAGGGATATATATATATATATATATATATATATATATATATAGAGAGAGAGAGAGCATTTGGCAGCAGGATGTGCGACGTGCAGCAGCTGCTCTGCGATCTGGGGCAGACGTTCAACAAGTTCAAGGAGCTGCGACGCACCGAGCTGCTCAAGGTGCTCGGCCAGGTGCGATGCTGCGAATGCGGCCACAGGATACGGATGCTCAGGGCGCGGCAGCAGGCCGGCAAATGGCCGTCGCGCACGCTCCGATTGCTTACCGCCTGCTTTATCCTCATGTTAGCGCTACTTATCTGCTGGCTACACTTGGCGCGCCGATTCAATCATGCCCAAAGCCACGGCACCGGCGGCTGTCCCCACACACTCTTCTATACCTACACCGACTGCGATGTCTACGTTTAGCACTTTGCCTCAATTCTTTCGGTTAATTAGAATCGAATTTATTATTAAACAGCCGCAATTTATTAAAATCGCGCTCCAAGTAGCCAGGCTGAAGGGAAAGAATGTCAAGTGAAACTCTGCCAAAATTTTGGTTTGTAGCTGCCTTTTTTGATCTATCCAAAAGTTATATTTAAAAAATAAGCTCAACCTGTTCTTTACATTAGGCCAGAACGCAAGACGCTTTTAAATTGTTTTATCATATAAATTAAAAAAGTTTTTACTCATTCGAAAAGTTGCTTTTATTTTTCGCTTTCGCTCTCAACCAACAACTGATCGAGACTCGGGAACTGTAAAACTTCGATTTAGCCAATTCTCTCTCAAAGTCTTTCCTAAAGCATATCAAGTTTTGTAGGTTTTGTACCCAAGGAACTCGAGTTCTGTCGGGCTAAGAGTTTCCAAATTTGGTATACAGATTCTTCGACAACAAATATTTGGATTTCAAAGAGAATATCAAGTTCAAGATCTCAGGATCGGTCGAGCCTAAAGCTGGCCTATTTGGTATACAGCTTCTTCTACAGGAACTGTATGATATTTCCTAAAGAACATTGGGATCTGCCTGTATCTATACTCCAGGTACTCGGGATCTATCAGACATAGACTATTGGGGCCTCTTCAAGAATATCCAGCTTTGTCTCTCTTTATACCCAAGAAACTCGGGATCTGTCTGGATAAAAGGGGGCAAATTTCGGATACAGCTTTTTCTACAAGAGCTAACTGATTTCTCCTCGAGAATATCAGGTTTTTTCTCCCACTGGTCCCAAGGAACTCGGGATCTGTCAGGCATAGAGCTGACAAAATTTGGTATACAGCCTCCTCTACAAGAACCATATGATAACTCCTAAGGAATATCAGGCTCTGCCCATCTGTACCCCCGGAACTCAGGATCTGTCAGTCTTAGACTAAGCAAATATGTTCTATTTGTATATTTTTCAACTTCTTCTAATCGAAACTTCTATTGAATTGCATGAAAAATGCAAAGAAATATTATTTCCGACAGCTGCTTGTCAATTTTGAGCGCTGCTTGTCAAATGAGCACAACAGAGGGCGCCACCCAACGGCAATCTTTCTAAAACCTGCTAAAAACAAATTCCTTTTTCAATTCACTAAACAGCAACAAAAACGAAAACAAAAACGAATGCAAAAAAAAAAATGGCAATGCTTAACGCAAATTGCACAAACACACAAAAAATGTGTTTGTGCAACAGAGTAACACCCCCCCCCCCCCCCCCCCCCCTCTCTCTACCACTGCCCCATTCCATTTAGGCTAAAATCAACATTTGCTTTTTCAAAAAAAAAATACTAAAAAAGCTGCTGAAAAAAAAAATGAAAGAAATGAGAAACAAAATCAACAAATGCGCAGCACTAAACTAAACCAGAGCAACGAAGAGGGGAGGGGAGGGGGAGGGGGAGGGGAAGGGGGCGGGGGGGTTGGGTTTGCGTGGATGTGACAGTGGACGGCTGCCACGCCCATAAGCACAGCTTGTTGAGGCGTTGCGTTTAGTTTTTCGCTGAATAGTTTTGCAATTTTTTCTCCCCCATTTTCTTTTATGAATGGCCGCAAAAACGCGGCTCAGTTCCGTGTGGGCGTGGCAGAGGGGCGCGGTCGGGGCGGGGGCGCTATGCTTGTTATGAAGGCGGCTGCCGACACTTGAAAGTGTTGCCAGATTGTTGTTGTTGTTGTTGTTGTTGTTTCTCCTTCTTCTCGTTTGCCATTCAACAACAAGAACAACAAACAAACAACAAACAAACAACAAACAAGAGCAACAAAAGCGACAGCCGTGCGACATTAATTGAAGTTTGTTGAACCAAAAAGCTGTTTGCTTGGCCCCCATAATCTAAATGAACTCCCCTCTCCCTCCCCCTGCCTCCCCCCTACCCCTCCCTCTCTGGTAAGTAGCATCTTCTGGCAAGGCAGAAGAAGAAGCTGTCTCATGTCACACGGTTCAACTTCCAGAGCTCTTCAATCAGACCCTACAAAGCATCTATATGCACTTGATTGACTGATTGATTAAGTAATTGACTGATTGATTGACTGATCGACTGACTGATCGACTGACTGATTGACTGACTGATTGATTGACCGACTAAGTTATTGATTGAACGACTCTTTAGCTTACTAACTGACTGATAAACTGGCGGATCGAGTGATTGGTTAAATGATTGACTGACTGATTGAAAGATTGACTAACTGACTGATTAGTTGACTGATTGCGTATCTGATTGACGGACCGATCGACTGACTGACTAATTGATTGGTCGACTAAGCGAATGATTGACTAACTAACTGATTGGTTAACTGAAGGATTGATTAAGTGATCAGTTAATTGACTGATTGACTGACTGGCTGATAGATTGCCTGATTGATTAACTGATTGGCTAACTGATTCCCTGACCATCTGATTGATTGCCCAATTAAGAAATTAACTGACCGATTGGTTGATTAACTGATTAGCTGACTGACTAGTTGACTGATTGATTGCCCGACTGTGTGACTGATTGGCCAACTGACTGTTTAACAGACTGACTAGTTGATTAAATGGCTGATTGCTTGACTAGCTGATTCAACTGACTGATTGCCTATTTGATTCACTAAATAAATGATTGATTGACAGATCATTTGATTATTTGACTGACTGGCTAATTGATTAGCTAATTGCCAAGCTAACCACCAGATTGACTGCTGATTGATTGGCTGATTAATTAACTGACTAACTAGCCAATTGATTGACTGGCTGATTAGTTGACTAACTAACTGATTGACTGACTGATTGATTGATTGATACCTAGGCAGCTAAATTGTTCACAGTAGCAAACTTTACTCTTGGGAAAATTGATTGAAAACATTTGCATGCAACTTTTTGTTAGGTTTTTCATGCGATCTTTGTGAATATTCTTAGCAGACACTTTCTTACACATTGCGGAAAATTGCCTAACTGAAAAATATGTGTGATGTAGCGTGAATATCTTAATTAAAAAGTTAATTACATTTCTGGTTAAATTTTTAGTTGTTTTTTTATATTTTCATGTGATTTTTCGCCCTCTTTAGGCATTTTCACAGATTTTCGTGAGGCAAATAATTGGGGTACAGCTGAATCGACCCTATGTAGTTGGACTACAATGATATGGGCGCGACAGTCGCTCTCATGATTAAAATTGCCGTCTGTCGACTGTCGACTGTCGACTCTCTCGACTGTTTGTCATTCCCCGCTTCCCATCTGTACTGCCTTTGTGTGTGCGTTTTTCAGTTGTTTTTTTTTCCTGTATTGCGCATTGTCGCATTTGCATTAATGATGCAATTCGGTGGCAACAGAAAAAGCTGAAGAAATAGCCAAGGTGTTTGCCACTTCATTTTTTCGTTCGGAAATAAATTAACAGCCTCTGTATACCCTGTTAAAATGATTGGAGGGCTATCTCTAACTGGCAGTCTTTAACAGGGCGTATATGGCATACGCAAGCTTGGAGCTGCGCACAGGGTATCTCATACCCTGTAAAAAAGGTAAGAGGGGTATCTTACAATAGTGCAAGTCAACAGAGAATCAGTAAAAGGCCATCAATCAAGACAAAAGGGAGCCTAACTTTTAAAATATGACACCCAAACTTGGAGCTAGCGCACACGGCATCTCATACCCTGTAAAAATTGCTAGAGGGGTATCTTACAATAGTGCAAGTCAACCGATAGCCAGAAATGGGCCATCAATCAACACATTAGAGAGCTAAATAATTGAAACATGGCATGCTCAAGCTTGGAGCTGCGCACAGGGTATCTCATAGTCGGGCATGCACGACGCAGGCCACTTCATTTGCTTAATAACAGCCAAATTGAAAGGGCGCACTGTCGCTGTCAGTGGAAAGGAAACTGCCAGGGTCTTTGCCTTGCTCAACAATCCTTTGGCCACTTTTCGAGGCGCCAAAAACCAGGTTCAATGCGCCCAAAAAATAAAGAAGAAGAAGAAGAAGACGACGACGAAGAAGAAGAAGAAGAACGGTCTTCTTCTTTATGTTTTTGCTGCCACTCGCATAAACTTGACAAAGTTGCTGCGCAGACATTCAGAATATTCCCGGGCCTTTGCACATTGTCTCGTCCCCTGCCCCCCTCGCCTTCCCCCTCTCCCCTCGCCTTACCCCTCTCCTGCTTCAACTCCTTCGGTCTCCTTCTTGGGCGACATCTTCAACTTTACGATTGTTCGTTGTCTGCTTTTCGGATTTTTTGTGGCAGCTATTAAAATTGAGAATGCCGCACAAACATTTTAATACCTCTTGATTTCATTGGGCACTTTCAGTATTTTTGGTACTTTTATTTGGAAATAAATACTACAAGAAACTTCAGTTTTTGCTGGTATGTATTCCATTTAGTATGAGGCGAAATCTTTGCCTACAAAAATAAATATAAATACTAAAATTTAGTATTTTTAAATACTGTTTTTTTTTGTCGCTGCCACGCTTTGTTTGCATTTACAGAGCTCTACAGAAAAATCGCTCGATGACACGCTTGCTGACATGTCCTGCAGTGTGTCCTGCCTGACAACTAGCATGACAGGTCATCGAGCGAGTCTTCTAGAGCTTTTATTGGAATGTGATTGAATAACAGACCAAGTCTGTGATCTTTGAGTCTCTCAGTTAAACACAGCTCAGTTCAACTGCATACCCCACGCTTGACAAATTCCAGGGTATAGCTTCTAAGTGTATTGGAGCTTGCATTTGCCAAATTGACTTTTGGGGCTTTTGCTATTTTGGCTGACTTTAGCCGCTTATCTCGCAGTTGACAGCTGCTCCGCCGCTTGGCAGCCAGTTTGCGTTATTTTCTCAACGGGCATTTGGCAGCCACCAACTGTATTAAAGTGTGGCAACTCTGCAGCTTGATGTTGGGCAACTCTGCAAACTTATTCTGACAAAACCATTCTATTAAAGTTAAAACTTGCTTAAAATGCGCTAATCTTGTCTGAGCTCTAATTGTATCTGATAGTGCCAGAGTTGCCACTGCTTGCATACATCTGGCAACTCTGCAAGCAAATTTAATTGATTATTTTTTGGAAAACCCCAAATAATTATCTATATTGCCTTCATTAAACGATATTGCTTTTTTTAAATGTGAATTTCGGTCGACGCTGCCGGAGTTGCCACTACTTGCATACATCTGGCAACTCTGCAACTATAATTATTTGCTTATGTTTTAGAAAAAGAAAATCAAAACAGTTTTGGCTTATTTAATTTTGATTTCCAGCCTTTTTCTAG